AGCCCGTCTGACTACCATCATACCACACTTGATTTCTTAACAATAAATACTACATGTCTCACCCTAGATTAAGACTACAAATATTTAATGTAAGTAATTGAGTGTACTATATGTGTATTTTACATTTTTTATGTTTCTTTAATGCTATTCTACGGCTACCCCAATGGTAAATAAGTCACACAGTCTGACTTTTTTTGGTTATCCTAGTACTTTACATATATGCTGCCTATGTATAGATAACTAGGTACTGCATTCGTGTATATCTGAATAAACTTACTAAACTTAATACATTGGGCCTCGACCAAACGTGGCAATCGATTAACGATAATCCGATAGCGATACATTTTTATCGCAAAAAATTTGCCTCGACTAGCCTAAAAAAACCCACAATCTATTTGGGCCGTCAAGAACGGCTCCCAACTTTGGCCTATCGGCCTCACTTGGCCCATGTGCCAAATGTTTACAAGCCAGCCAGCCACCGCGGTCGCTCCAAACATACAATTGAAACATTTCATAATATCACAACGTTTGTGTGAATTTGCACCTGCAAAATATGTCACCATGGGCCCCAAGAAAGCCGTCTAGTGCCAACTCCTACAGCAAAAAAGGTGAGAATTACTATGGAGATAAGAAAGAGTCATTGCCTAATATGAAAAGTGGAGTGCGTGTCTCCGTGCTGTCAAGGTTTGTATATAAACCCCAATCAACCATCGCTACTATTCGTGGCAAGAAAACGGCAACAAGGGAAGCTGTTTTTGCCAAAAAGGTGGCAACTATGGTTTTTTCGAAACTGAATCGCAAGTGAAGAAGATGTTGAGAGACTCTTATTGGTGTGTATAAACGAAAAAACAATAGCAGGAGATAGCATCTCTCAAGTCGATCATATTAAAAGGCTAGGAAGTTTGCGACGATTTAATTAAAAAAATGCCCGCACCTAGTGTTGTTGTGAGTGAATTTAAGGCCAGCAAAGTTGGTTTGAGAGAATTTAAGAAGCGTATGGCATTCGTTTCATAGGTGTGATAAGGCATGGTGAGTCTGCCAGTTCGGGCCACAAAGCGGCTGAAAAATATGTGCAGAATTCCAGGCGTACATAGACAGTGAAGATCTGAAAACCTGACAAGTGTTTAATTGGACAAAACAGGCCTGTTGGGAAGGAAAATGCCAAGGACAGGACCTCATTACTTCCAGGAGGAAAAGGCAACTCCCAGGACTAAGCCTATGAAAGACAGACTTACCTGTGATGTGTTCGTGAGGAAACATATTCACCAGACGAAGCGACCTGTATGTTATGCCGCCGCATGCACTCGGTATTGTAACCGATTGCCATGCCCAGGACGTAGTACATCCCGTGCCTACCCCAGGTAAATAGTTGACTGAGAGGATGATGTGGCTACACTGCATGGATAAGACCACAGCATCAGAAGATGGTGGTAGTGGTGATGTAGTGCATGGGCCATGCGGACTCCCCACCCAAGACTGGGACCACACGGTTTTTTGCTGCTAACATCCTCAGATTCAAGGGCAAAGTGTACGTCGAGCCCCCACCACACCACAAACCACAACTAACCCACACAAACCACCTTGATGTCCAGTATCCACCAGCAAACGTACTGGGATTGCAGCCAAAATCCCAATTTTGTTTCCAAGCCCCACCACTTTGATGACTCTCAAAGTGGAATTCTACCACCTTGTCCCCTTGGAAACACTGCAAATGAAATGGGATTCTTTGAATTATTCTTTGACACAACCATGATGTGAACAATTGTCAGGGAAAGTAATAAGTATTTTGAGTACACCATGGCAAACACTCATATCACCACAGTCAAGACTACAACCGGTGGAAAGAGACGACTGTTGCAGAAATGCATTTGCTTTTTGAAACCAAAAATGCTTTATGCCTCATGTCCTAATAAGCATAATATAAAACATACTGTTCCACAGAACGGCAAATTTCTACCCCGGTCCTTCATTGAAAATCATCCCAGTGAACAGTTTATATTACTGTTATTACGCTGGAGTTTACCTGGAGAGGTTTCGGGGGTCAACGCCCCCGCGGGCCCGTCTGTGACCAGGCCCTACTGTGGATCAGCGCCTGATCAACCAGGCTGTTGCTGCTGTCTGCACGCAAAACCAACGTACGAGCCACAGCCTCGTCAGATCAGGAACTGACTTTAGGTGCTTGTCCCAGAGGCCCTTGAAGACTCTGCCAGGGTCCTGTTGGTACTCCCCTTTATGTGTGCTGGAGGCCAGTTGAACAGTCTCGGGCCCCTGACACTTATTTATGGTCTCGTAACGAGCCTAGTGACCACCCCTGCGTTTCATTGGGGGGATGGGCAATCGTCTGCCAATCTTTGCTTTCGTAGTGAGTGATTTTCGTGTCAAGTTCTACTAGATTCCCCTCTAGTAATTTTCCAGGTGTATATAATGCATGTATCTCTCCCTCCTGCGTCCCGGAATCAGGTTTAGAAACCCAAGCGCTCCCAGTAATTGATGTGTTTTATCTCCTTTATCCGCCCGTGAAAGTACTCTGTACATTTACTAAGGTCGGCAATTTCACCTGCCTTGAAAGGTGTCAGTTTAGAGGTGCAGCAATAGCCAGCCTAGATAGAACAAGGTGACCTGTATGTTGCACTTCTCTGACAAAACCAGGCCCTGACAGAGTGACAGGTGATACAAGATTAGAAAATGTTTTTATGTATCTCAAACAAAAGTTCAGCATATACTTTATCATTCAAGAATCTTGTAATTGAACGAGTCTTTGATTTTGTTCAAAGGTAGGCTGTCATTCAAGCAGTAATATACCGATGCAAGAGAAACGCTTTGGTATAAAAACTGTTTGTACCTGTTACTGTGACAGTGGCCTGTGTTGGGATGTTGTTGTAGACACGGGAAGTAAAACATTGAAAGATACCCAAATGTTATTGGTATATCAGGTGTACGTAGTGAGAAACATGATGGCACCTTATTACTTTGGTAAAGGGGCATACATTGATAAATAACCGATAACTGTACACGAGCCCATTACTCAGTGATTTCATGCGAATGAACAGAGACAGATGTGCGTGAACAGTGCGGTTCTATTCGTAAACATATGCCCCAGGCTCAACGCAGTGCTCATATGTGATGACGTACAGTGTTTACTGCCAATGAACATCATTGGCATTACGGTGACATGACAAAACGAGATGTCACATTGTTGAAACATTCTCCGTAATGAAATGCAAGACATGGCAAAGTTGATCGAGTGAACTACTGAACGTATTCGAAAACCCAGTGACAGTGATTAGATTATAACACAAAACAACTTGCGCTTTGGTGTGACACTGTGACATGCAGATTGGTGTTTGTTGATTGTGTTCGTAAAGGTTTTACAAGTGGTACATGAAACTTTTTTCCTTCCCATCTCATGGACATTTCAATGCCTCAATGCCTATAATTGTACAAATTGAAGACTGGCAACAGACCACCGTATGGTGAATTTTGTTTTTCTGTTTTCAGACCACTCATATGAAGTACCATGGTAAGAACACCTCATGCAACCAAGGGTCCTCGAAAAATGTCCATGTTTGTAAAAGTTATATGATAGAATAGATTATCAAGATTTGTGCATGTTTATTGTAATAAACAACAGTGGTAAACAATAATATGATAATAACTTTAGTGCGGTTATTGTGTTCAATACAGTGAGTTTATATATATACATTATATACAGTATTGGTCTCTCAGGCCCCAAATGTTAGTAGGAAAAGAAAAAAATTTGAAAAGAAAAGAAAAAACTACAAAAACCGCTAAATAAATTAATGCACGTATGTGGAATTCGTCGATGTTGCCGCCACCACATCATCTTGGACAAACTTATTGGCACTGTATCTCAGTAAGTACTGATCAGAAAATTTTTTTTTTTAGTCTTATTACATTCACAAAAATATGCTCTTAAATTCTGTAAGCAAAAATAAGTTTTTTTTTTTTTTTTCAAAATTTCTTGGACACTGGAGCACCACTTCAGATTTTGGCCTTGGACCCTGAAGGGGTTAATTTACATGAAATTGGCCAAATTGCCAATTTCTGACCACTTTATTGGGTAGTTCAAATCGGTAAATGGGCGGTTTCTTGTACTCCATTGATAGAAAAACTGGATTTCTAAAGAAATAGCTATGAGTGTGGTCAACTGGAACAACAGAATTGGCCAAAAACAGGGCTCAAAGTCGGCGAAATCGCCGATGCGTATACGTCCCTGAGATCACTAACTTCACGGGAGCATAATTCGGTGAGTTTTTGACCAAATTTCGTACTTTTGTCATTACCATTGGGAAAAGATTCTCTATCATTTCATAAGAAAAAAAAAAATTCCAAAAATTTTGCAGCATAGAATGACAGTTTCAGAAAGTGGCTTATGACAGTCAAAGGGTTAAGTAGCAGCTCCTGTCTCCTGCCCTTCCTAATACCATTTCCACCAGCACTGAGGCAGATAATAGGCTTGTTCCCATTACCTGTCAGGAGAATTAATCTAGGAGCTAGAACAACATACCTTCATGCAGGAACACAATGAAGTGAATCTTTATTTGATGAATGAAAAACTGCAGGGAGAAAGATCAAAGGCCATGGAACAACTTTGCTTGGATGAAATATTTGCAATGATTAACTCTATATAAATTACTCAATTTCAGAAGAAGTTTTTTTTTTTTTAAAAGAAATACTTTTGTTTTTCTTTTTAGGTCACCCTACTGCCAGTTCAAAAACAAAAAAAAAAAGTCCAGTAAACTAAAATTTATCGAACTGGGAGCACTAGTACTGTAGTATTGTTTGTAAATTCAGTAATTAATAAATCATGGCACTTCAGAGACATGGGAGGTGTATAATTAGTGGACAAGAGGTGTACTGTCAGTTATTATGTGACCGTGACCTCTGTTGGCCTGGCAAAATGGATAATTCAGCAAGGCTGTGGAACCAAGAGTGCTGGAAAATCCATGGCATATCAATATTTAAAATTTACTCCACACCATTCCTACCTAATCCTAAATTATAGTTTTCTCACCTTCAATTTCCTTGACAATTAGTGAAAGAGGTTTCTTGTCCTGAAACCTAAATGCTATTGGCTGACCAACTGTGTAGCAATGTTTGGCAAACTGTTCCATGAATGCCATTACCATCTGGTCAGTGTTGTAGGAATCTCTGGAAGTATTCTTCTTCTGTAAGAAGTCTGCTTCAAGGACTAGGGTAGCAATGAGTTGTGTTTGTGGATTGTACATAAATGGTTCTGCAGCAATCTGTCAACATTGTGGGAAAAATCATTTTTAGTTTCCTTCCCAACAAAATACATACCACAAATACAAAAATGAAGATATGAATAAAATTACATACATAAATATCAACTAAATTAATTAACAGTTTTGCAAACCAAATGAAAATACCATCCCAATGACAGTGCATAAAAAATGTGTCCAATTTTGCCCACTTTGAGCCCTATTTTCAGCCAATTCCAGTGTACTAGTCGACAAGAATCATAACTATTTCGCTAGAACATAAGAACATAAGAAAGGAGGAACACTGCAGCAGGCCTGTTGGCCCATACTAGGCAGGTCCTTTACAATTCATCCCACTAACAAGCATTTGACCAACCCAATTTTCAATGCCACCCAAGAAACAAGTTCCGATGTGCAAGTCCCTCTCAAATCCAACCCCTCCCACTCATGTACTTATCCAACCTAAATTTGAAACTACCCAAAGTCCTAGCCTCAATAACCCAACTAGGTAGACTGTTCCACTCATCAACTACCCTATTTCCAAACCAATACTTTCCTATGTCCTTTCTAAATCTAAACTTATCTAATTTAAATCCATTACTGCGGGTTCTCTCTTGGAGAGATATCCTCAAGACCTTGTTAATATCCCCTTTATTAATACCTATCTTCCACTTATACACTTCGATCAGGTCTCCCCCTCATTCTTTGTCTAACAAGTGAATGTAACTTAAGAGTCTTCAATCTTTCTTCATAAGGAAGATTTCTAATGCTATGTATTAATTTAGTCATCCTACGCTGAATGTTTTCTAACGAATTTATGTCCATTCTGTAGTATGGAGACCAGAATTGAGCTGCATAATCTAGGTGAGGCCTTACTAATGATGTATAAAGCTGCAGTATGACCTCTGGACTTCTGTTGCTTACACTTCTTGATATAAATCCCAGTAATCTATTTGCCTTATTACGTACGCTTAGGCATTGCTGTCTTGGTTTAAGGTTGCTGCTTACCATAACCCCCAAGTCCTTTTCGCAATCTGTATGGCTAAGTTCTACATTATTTAACTTATAAGTGCTAGGGTTATGGACACTCCCGAGCTTCAGAACCTTGCATTTATCTACATTGAACTGCATCTGCCACTTTTCTGACCAAGAGTAGAGTTTGTCTAAATCCTCCTGAAGTTCCCTAACATCTACGTTTGAATCAATTATCCTACCTATTTTTGTGTCATCGGCGAATTTGCTCATATCACTAGCAATTCCTTCATCAAGATCATTGATATATATTAAAAAACAACAACGGGCCCAAGACTGATCCCTGTGGAACGCCACTTGTTACTGAACCCCACTCGGATTTAACCCCATTTATGGACACTCTCTGCTTCCTGTCTGTGAGCCATGACTCGATCCACGAGAGCACCCTTCCCCCAATGCCATGAGCTGCTACTTTCTTCAACAGTCTTTTGTGTGGAACTCTATCAAATGCCTTACTAAAATCTAAGTAAACAATATCAAATTCTTTATCGTGGTCAACAGCCTCAAAAACTTTACTGAAGAAAGTTAATAAATTAGTTATACAAGACCGGCCTCTTGTGAATCCATGCTGAGTATCATTAATCAAGCTATGCTTATCGAGATGGCTTCTTATAACCTCAGCTATAATTGACTCTAGCAACTTGCCTACAATTGAGGTCAGGCTTATTGGGCGTAATTTGACGGTAACGACTTGTCCCCTGTTTTAAAAATAGGAATTACATTAGCCATCTTCCACATATCAGACACTACACCTGTTTGAAGAGATAAATTAAAAATATTAGTTAATGGTTCACAGACTTCCATTTTGCATTCCTTAAGAACCCTTGAAAAAACCTCATCAGGACCCGGTGACTTATTTTGCTTCAGTCGGTCTATCCTCTTCACAACCATTTCACTAGTGACTGTGATGTTACATAATTTATCTTCTTCTGATCCACTAAAAAATTTAATTACCGGAATATTATTAGTGTTTTTCCTTTTGAAAAAACCCGGGGGAGAAAAAAATTTTTTTAAATCGAGCACTTTTTCTTTCTCTTTGTCGTAAGGGCCCCATAGTTTTTTTTAAAGGGGACCTTTTCTTATCTCGGGACTTTTTTTTTTCCAAATTGCCCGGGAAAAAAAACTTTTGGGTTGTTTAGAACCCCCAAGCAATTTTAAAATTTCATAGCCCCTTTTTAGCTTTTCATACCCCCTTTTTTAAATTTTTCCCTTTTAATGTAAATATACTGATTAAATAAGAGACCCTCGCCCTTTTTGTTCCCTTTTTTAATTCCTTTTTTATGCCCTAGTAGATATTTCAGCCTATTTCCCATCCTTTTTGGGGTCATTTCTATTTGATCTAAGTTCCTTAAAAGGGAAAAAAAACGTTTTTTTAGCAGCAAAAAAAAAAAATTGGGTTTTCGGGAAAACTCTCATATTGATAGCTCTTTTTCGTTACCCCATTTCAACAGATTTAAGTGTTCTCTGGGGCCCATCGTAATCTGCTAACAAAAAAAAATTGGGAGGGTTACTTTTTTTATGCCAATTATATATTTCCCCATTCAATTTAAATGTAATTGTTTTGTGGTCGCTACACCCTTTCCTCTGAAATTAAAAATTTAAAAACCCAAGGGGTTTCATTTTTTGCCAAAAACTAAGTCAAGCAGGTTTTTTCCCCCTTTGGGTTTCTGCCCCCCCAAAAAAAATTGCTTCAAAAAAAAAATTTCCTAAACCCAATTTCTAAAAAATCTTTTTTATGATTCAAATTCCCAGTCAAAAATTTTCCAATAAATTTTGCTAAAGTTAAAGTCCCCAAAAATTTTTATACATTTTTGGGCCTTGGGCCCAAACAATTTTCCCCCCATAGTAGTCTCCCTTGGCCCCCTAAAAAATTTGGGGGGGGGAAACGGTATATCACCCCAAAAATTTAAATTTTTTCAGCCCCTCTAAAATTTCCCTATCCAAACAGACTCTGTATGTTTTAAACCAACTTAATACCCGTTTTTATGAAACATTTTAAAGCGATCTCGGCCTTTAAAGGGCCACCCCACCCCCCTTCCCATACTTCTATCTACTTGGAAAAAATTTTTAAAACCCTAAAAGTGAATTCTGCAGGCAGCCGACTTTTTTAATTAAACCACGTCTCAGAATTCAAATACATCTATGTTAAACCCGCACTTGCAACTATCTCAACCGTTTCCCTCTTATTCCTAGCAAGCGACTATTGGTTTTAATAAATTTTTTTAAAGACCCTCCCCTCTCTTTAACCCTTTTTTGCCCTTTTTGTTATTCCATAAATTATTACTGACCTTGTCAATTTGTGGGCCAAATGGCTTTTTCCTATTTCCCCCCCTCATTTTGGGCCTTTTTCTAGTTTTTCCTTAAATTTCTCATTTCTACCCTGCGACTTTACAGTTTTCCCCCCAAAAAAAACCCCTACCCCCTAACTAAATTTCCCATTTAAAGACCTAACAGCTCCCCCCACGGGGTTGGCCATGCCCCCACCCCACACCTAGATAAGTGAAACCCCCCCCCCCTGGCATTTCATGTCATTTCTGCCATAGAGAGGGCCCCGTTGTCAAGAATGTTACCGCATTTTCCTTACAGTACTTGTACAGCCAGCCCCCTTGACACAAATTTCTCTGGCAAAAAAAATTTATTTCCCCAAATCCTCCCCCTTGGAAAAAGCCACATATGCCCGGGTTTTCCCCCCCTTTTCCCCTTAATTATCTCTATTGCGACCCCATACCTCTAATTTAGGTCCTCACTCCTTCGTCCCGCCAAAAATTTGTTTTCCTCCCCGCACTGAGAAAAGATAATAGGATTTTGTTTCCCCTTACCTCCATGAAAGTCATCCAGACGGGAAACCAAATTTTCCTTCATCCCGCCCCAGGAAAAAACACTCTTTGCCTCCTCTCCAAACCTTCGCAGGAAACCCTTTTCCATGTACCTAACTGGCTATCCCCAAAAACAAAAAAATGGGTTTTTTCCTTTCCCTTTGGGGTCGTCCGTCATGATGCTCCCAGAAATCGACTCACCCTTTGCCCGGTAGCATTACACCACTTGAGAATTCGTTTAAGACGTTCTCGATGGTCTTCGTTTGGGGGTTTTTAGGGGTGGGCTCCTCACTTTTTGCCAATGCCCTTTTTTGGTGCTGTTGTGGCATTCCCACAAACCCTCACATTCCCCTTTCCCCCCCGGGAGGCAAACCCAGAATGAGTTGGAAGTTTCCACGGTATCTTCTGGTTTCCCCCGTTGCCCCCCTTTCCCCCTCTTTCCCAAACCCTTTTCCCGGGTTTTTCAGCTTGGTTCCCTGTTGCCCGGCCACTGACCCAAACCCCCCCTTAACCTGGGGGAAAATACAACAGAAGGTTCTACGAATTTCCCTTGTTTTTCCTCCTTAATCGCCGATCTCCCCTCTTAGGGAAAATTTTGACTCCTCTTTCAGCTGCTGGGAAAGTTTTCTCAAGAGAGGCATCCGGGGAAAAGATTCCCCAGAGAGCACCCCAAACAGGTCCCTTTACAGAGCTAAGTACACGTCACCCCCTGAGCTAAGTACACGGCACCCGAGCTAAGTACAAAGTCACCAATTTAGCTAAGTAAAACTCAAACCCTTAGCTAAGTACAAAAGGCAAACCCCTGGGTAAGTTAAAAAACGTTTACCACTGAGCTAAGTAAAAGTCACCCTGTCCCCTTTAAATACACGTCACCCCCTGAGCTAAATACACTCCCACTGAGCTAAAATAAAACTTTACCCCTGAGTAATTAAAACGCACCCCTGAGCAAGTTTCACCCTCACCACTGAGCTAAGTACACGGCACCACTGAGCTAAGTACAACGTCACCACTGAGCTAAGTAAAACGTCACCACTGAGCTAAGTACTACGTCACCACTGAGCTAAGTACACGTCACCACTGAGCTAAGTACACGCCCACCACTGAGCTAAGTACACTCCCCCACTAAAAAACCCATTTTTTCTATCAAATGATACAAGAAACCACCCATTTACCGAT